GTTTTTTTTCAGATATTGTATATGGTTTCAGATAGTATATGATAATATTTCCTTTATTTAATTCGAATAATTTTTTTAGATTTGTTCAATATAGACATACAATTGAAAACTGTTAAAAATCGTTATGTTATATTAATTTGTTTAAATAAAAATATTTTTAATTTAACAAAACTTTTCGGCATTTTTTTGAAACCACAATTCTTCATGATTCATACTTTATATGTGTAAACAAAATTCTATGCGAATATCTAATAGGTCAACTTAAAGTTATGTATATAATTGTATAAAAATTGTATCTAATGTTACAGACTTACTTTTACTTAAAAACTTCATTTCGGCAGAATCTCCTAAGTTTTGATTTAAGTTGGTAGTCTATCTTTAAATAAGAAGTTTTTCAAAATTTTAAAATATACTGTTTTACCCTGTTTCACATACGTAGAAAATGGTGGTGATATTTGTTTTTCATAGAAAAATTTAGAAATTATATAATTTCATCATTAGACATTGAGGGTAAAAACCTAACTTAAGCGATTTTTATCGCCTAACTTAAGCAATTTTTATAAGAACTTTTTACTTGGATCTTTTTAAAAAAATGAATTATTACTTCATTTTTTTGAATCATTAGTATCCTTTTTAAAGTAACCCAGGGTATTCACATGCAGTTTTGACTAAAAGTATAACTAAAAGTAGAAACTTAATTTTATTTTTAAGATTTATCAGAAGCTTGATTTTGCTGCTGGCAGATATACTTTTTATTCTTAATTAAACATAATACATTTAATTTCTGCTTGGAGTCCTGCTTATGTATTTATCAACTTAATGGTTTTTAATTAAATTTAGACAATAATAATTAGTATTGAAAATAAAAACGTTGATGCTGGAAAAACATATAAGTCAAGTGGGTCAAAAATGTTCAAAAAACGACTTTTTCATGACTAAAGTTTAAGTTCTCTTTTGTAAGAATCCAACATTGTCTCTGTAAATAGTCTTGTCAATAACACAACTTTGAGAAGTAATTTTAATACTTAACTTTATCAAAGAAACTTACCTTTGTAAATCAGCATCAACTTTAACAAAACTGACTTCATTACCTAATCGAATTTTCCACACTGTTACATCATGTTGGATAACTTTGTTTTTAAAAATGTTATATACGTAATTGTTATGTTTCCTCAATGTTAATTAAGGGGTATTAAGCTTTCTAAAGATTTGTCAAAAAGAGAGGACTGTCTGTTTAATTTGAGTATACATGTACAGCCTCTACCTGCTCATGGAGTAAAAAAGAATTACTCTAGCAAAGAAATCGATGATGGATCTGGTGGACAATATCAATCGAATGTTAATTTGAGATCTATTATTTTCATGAGAGAAATAAGAAAAGGAACATGCTGCTCCAACAAACTTCTGTGGATTTATGAATTTACCACCACAAAAAAAAAATTCATGATATTCAAAGATACATTAAATGTTTACGAGCAAGTTACTCAAAACTTTATGAATAAAACAGCTGCTGACATTTAACAAAGTCTTAGCGAGAACAAGATATATGTAATAGTTTCACGTGATAGTACCTGATAAAAGCAAAGATTTTTTCTTTGATGGTGTCATAGCTTTAATTTCTAGTAATACTCGAAAATATATTGACTATCACTTCAACTTCAATAAATCATTAAATATCGAAAAGATGTCCAAAGAATATTTTTGATGGAGGAGACACTTTAGAAATTGGTGTCTCATCTGCAATCATAAGTTTTAAATGGAGTGTTATTGCAATCGTAAATTTTAAATGGAGTATACATGGTAAATGGATTTAAAATGTATAATGACAAAAATTTAAATATATATAATGGAAAATTTACAAAAAAATTTTGCCCAAACAAAGATTGTGCAAAAGTTGCTTGTGAATTACAAATCTACTCCAAAAGTCTAGCTTAAACATAACAAGAAAAAATTAAAGACCTCAGCGTAAAGGTTTTGCAAATGCCAATGAACAAATTGAAAGAGTAGTATATGAAACTGGTCTTTTATGATTTTTTATTGTACATTGTTATATCTAGCATTTGACAATGGCTAACTAATTGGTTTGGTTTTTTTTTTGTTTTGTTTTTAAGTATATAAGTTGAAATCATAAAAAAAAAACATTTCTAAAGCCAATATCAATTCGAAACAGTCAGTTTCGCAAAAATGTTGCTTTGTTAATGCAATTTATGATTTGGCTCAAGTTTGACTGAAACAATCGATTTTTAATTTTCTTTTCTGTTTTTCCCAAAATGTGATTTTTGGAAACGGTGCAATAAATAACTTTTTTCAAATAAGTGCTATAGACCTGAAATTTAGTACACTGATTTTATTATATATACTCTTTTGGATAAAATAACACTTTAATTTTTACTTTTTCGGTTGTCTAGTAAATTTGGCTCAAAAACAAAAACTTTTTTATAAAATTGTTTTCTTTTAAATCAGACATTTTAATCTTCCTATTAAATGATGTACTAAAAAATCCAGAGCATAAAAAAAATAAGAGCCTATATTATGTATGAAAGACCTTTTTTTGGGGATCTCTTTTTTTTGCGCCCCTTTGATATCTGGGTTAAACCCTTAATCACAAAGCAGGGGTCAGACCTTTAGATATAGCAGGAACCCGGGGGAATGGGAATATCCCCAATCTACCTCGCCAGTCCGACTCTGCCAACACACTTAATTTTTTTTTTGTTCTAATTTTTAGAAGACAAAGTAAATTTTTTTTAAATGCGTATAGATATTATATGCATAACATACATAAAGATATTGCATACTATAAAAAACGAACGGGAGGGTATTTTATAAAAACCTTTTTAAAATTTTTAAAAAACATGAAAACACTGTTGGATGGTTTGCGCATATATCATGATGGAGATACTTAGGTTACTAATACGCTAAAGTAATTAGTTGAACCTTTCACATATTTAAGTCATCTCATGTTTTAAACCGATTGAAGTTATTTAAAATATTTCAAGTGGGTATTTCAAATATGATTTAGAAAGATGCTATTATTTAATCAGTAGATAAATAGCGATTCATGCAACGGCTACCTAAACGTTTAAAGCTTTTTAAAGTTAGTTGAAAAAATTGTATTTAATAACTTTAAAAAGTAAACGTTATTTATAATTTTTTTATTTGTATATAGTTATTTTTCTGGCGCTTAGTAAAAAATATTCAAGTAAGGATTAAGTATGAAAAAGATCGTTGTGGAATAGACACCTATTTTACAGGCCCGAAAATAAATGTAGCAAAATCCCTTTTAATTGTCAGAAGATAATTTGATATAAGTTTTAGCATGTTTTAACATTAATTAATTTGAAGTTTACGTATGTTCGATTTTTTCATACACTTCTGCTCACGTTTGCTTACAATAAATTGGACTACCACTCTTTTTCGCCACCACCTTGGTTGCAATGGCCGACAAGAGTAACACGGTCGAAGGGGACTACTACTACTACTACTACTACTACTACTACTACTACTACTACTACTACTACTACTACTACTACTACTACTACTACTACTACTACTACTACTACTACTACTACTACTACTACTACTACTACTACTACTACTACTACTACTACTAGTACTTTTACTACTACTACTACTACTACTTCTATTACTACTACTGCTACTACTACTACTACTACTACTACTACTACTACTACTACTACTACTACTACTACTACTACTACTACCACTACTACTGCGTATGAGAAACTCTCTGCCTTCGTTGAAATAAGGAGAAATCGCTTTTTAAGGTTTATACCAGCACCATATGCGTACTTAAATATTTTGGGCCCTTATGCATCTTAATGAAGTAAAAAGCAATCCATAAGAAAATTCTAAGAATAAAAAAGGTAAGTGAGAACAAAAAAATTAATAAATGAAATAAATGATCAATGTTTTTTTCAATAAACATCGAAAAAAACTACAAACAAGTTAAGTACCACTTACAATAAAGTGTTGTAAAAGCAGTTTGTGGCTGGCATTGTTGCAACAACGATAATAAACACATAAGAAATGCAGCTAATTGAAAATTAAAAATAACTGAAAGCAATCAAAAAAAAAAAAAAAAACTCAACATGTTTGCAAAATTTTGGAAAATCCTAGAACAATTTACAACAAACTTAACAAAGTCAAATTTAAAAATAATTTAACCTTACGATCCTTAACAACACACAAAACTAAAATTATAGAATAGATTAAATATTGTTGTTAAACACCTAACCCTACGGGCATTTGATTTTAAATGTTACGTTCTAAATGTATTTTAAATGTCTTTTAAATGTTTTCTAAACGTTCTCTACGAAAGAACATTAAAAAGACGTTTAAAAAATGTTTAAAGGACATTTAGAACGTAACTTTTAAAAACAAATTCGCGTAGGGAATATTTAAAATAAACAAATGATTGTTTTTTTTAAAATTTAATCAAAAAACAAATATTGACTGTGTGAAGTTACAAAATAATCAAACGAATTAAAAGTTGAAGAACAAATCTATGCATTCTTTTAAGTTCATCTATATAATAAACTAATAATTGTTTGTTAAATTATAGGAGAAAAAATTTCAAGGGTATGATCTTATAAAAAGTAAGATAAAAAAAAAGTAAGATGTTTGGCTTCGCTTGCTTGCAAATATAATTACATAATTTTGTTTAATTTTTTAAATTCCTTTTTATCTGTGCGTTCGGCTCTAAATCTGTTGAAAGGGAAGTGTCAAAGAAGCTTTAAAATTGCCAACTTTTTGTAGTAATGTAATATCAAATAATTTTAAAAATTCCTTTCAATAATGTATAAAGCAATTTTAATAAATAGTTTTAGTTTAAAAACAATATTAAACTTTTTATTATGTTCTTAATAAAAATATACTTTTAAAGACCCTCTTTAAAATGTAGGTCACTTTATAATGTCAGCATGGCTCTTGCATATCTATAATATATAAAAGACTATTACACTATATTTCTTTTTTTATAGAGAACTTTACAACTCCAACTTTGTTTTCCCCAATAACAGCTCTAACTTCAATTTTATTTAATTTGACCAGTTTGGAACTATCTACATTTCTACTAAAATCTCTTGCTTTTACACCACTTTATAGCAGCGTTGTTGTAGAAGGTATTTTGTATAATTTAGATTATTTAATAGTTTTCATTTATACTATAATTGCATTCATAGTGTAATATATTTTGCATAATATAATCATATAGTGTGTTTTAAATAAATATAATTTATGTAGTGTATAATATATAATGATAAAAGTCTTCCAACTTACATTAGTTTAGTAGTTACTATATAAAACTTAATTTTATAAATCAATACTTTTACTTCTTTATTGTACAGTCGTCGACAGCCTAATATTTTTTTAAGAAATAACACAACTTATTATACAAGTCAACATATAAATTTGTTGTAGAGTTTTCTGCCATGATGCCATATTTATCAACAAGAACAACTGCAACTATACCATATTATATCGCTAATTCAAGACCATCTTTTTCTTTATTGAATTCTGTTAGTATTACAGCTTCAACAAAAGAAAATTACAGCAGTAATATATTTAAAGGTTTGTTTTGTGTATAAACTTTTTTTTTTTTTTGTAATTAATTCTTACTAAAGTACAAACAGGCGTTCTTGCACAACAAAGCCAATGTTGGATTTTTCAACATAACCTATAACATGTTTTTAAAAAAATTTCAAGATTTCATTATATTTTTAATTTCAGGATTCAATATAAACTTTTTTAATAAATTAAGTTAGAAAAAATAATAATAGAACTATGTGTTTTAGATTTTGTTTTATATAACTATAGGTGATACCTGAATTAATTAACAAACTAAAAGTGACTAAGTTGTTATCAAACTATATGTCTCTCGAGAAAATTCAAAAAATAACAAAATATACCTGGCAATATTTAGAAATAATAAACACAGCTATTGCAGTAAACAAAAAACATTTTTTTAATTGTACTGAAATCAGTTTAAAACAAGCTTCTTAATAAGTAATATTGTAAATAAAATTAAAAACACAATCGTTAAATCTTTAAATCCTTTTAAATAATTTTTTTTTTTTTTTACTAGAAGCAATATTTAATGTTATGAGTCTATTATCATTATTTAATGTTATGAGTCTATATCACTCTAAGTTTATTATTATTAAATATATTTGTTTCTACTATTTGTAAACGATTACCTATCTCTTTCATTTCATTTACAACTAATAAAAATTACTTTTTAAGGTATTTTACACAATAAATTAAAAAATTTGCTCAAGTTTGACAAAATTGTTTTTTAAGTCATAATGGTAGATATTAAAAGCTAAATGTATTTTGTAAAGTAGGACAAACATAATGCTTTAGTTAAATATAATAACGATTTAGGTGGTGACTGAAAAGACTTAAGTCAAAACAAAATTTCACAAGGTGAAAAATAAATCAAGTTATACATTGTATAACTTGATTTGCATAATATACAATTTCATTTTTGTAATATACAAATACATGAAACAATTTATAATTTAAATCAAAAACTCGAAACACAACTTATATATCAGGTCAAATAATGATACACAATTTATAAAAAATTGGTTTATATGTATCATTTTATAACAAAGTATTAATCATATATATAGCATTTTTTTATAACATTCCAACAAAGTAAAACTAGCATTAAAATTATTTATTGTAACATTATTCAACTTAACATTTTATAAAATATTTTTAGTATTTTTATGTTTTACGGAGTGTGGGAATTTTATTCCACAGTACGAAAAAAGAACCAATTAAATCGTAAAACAACTTAAAAAGTAATAAAATAGTAAATATTATAAAAAATAGTTAAAATGTGGTGGTGTAGTGGTAGAGAGCTCGCATTATAAACAAAAAAGATACGAGTTTGATTCCCACTTTATTCTTGGTTAGTACAGTGCTCAACTTTTTTTTTCAATACACGAGTTTAAGAGTTAAATAGTTAAGAAAGAGTTGTAGCTAAAAAAAGCAGTTTTCTCAACTGTAGTGGCTCACGTAGCCTTAGGTAGACAAATAACATTAAAAAAAAAATATATTTTTTTTATTCTATTATTTTTAGCTAAACTTCTCTGTTTTCAATAATTTTATATTAAAATACTTTAAATTTAAACGATTTCATTGACGGTAAATAACACATACTGAAATTTTTTGCCCCTGTGTAATAAGAGTAAAAAAAAAAGTTCAAAAAGTTGTTGACCAAGAGGTAATCCACTGTTATTCAGAGTGGTAGCCCTTTTATTAAATATAAAATAACAGATTGAGCAATTTGTAAATCATGGGTAATAATGAGCACACCTTATACAACCAACCAACATGCAGCTCTAGCAGCCAACTGGCCTGGCCTAGGTCAAGGTAATCAGCTGCTTCTCAAAAGCTGGATGCTACGATGTTAAAACTAATAGCCACAGTCAGCATCTTTCTCACCCGCGTACCTGCTTTTGAAAACGAAAACATTACTCTAAAAGCATATCACTCTCAACAACAAAAGTTAGCACCTACTAATTTGAACACAACTCGTAACTGGGTGCGGCGCGGGGCTCCCTGCGATAGCCGCAGCAAGAAGTGCGCCAGTGCGGCGCTGGGGTCTGGAGGAAGGGGGGGGGATGAGGTGATCCTCTTTTAGAAGAGAAGAAAATCTAAGAGTTTTTTTAAATCCCTTGTTTTTTATGGGTTGAATGGTTTATAAAATTTAGTTCATTAAAAGTATGATGATTAGGTGGACAATTTAATGATCATTCTAAAGTATTTGTTTTTTCTTCATCTTATTTATTTCAAGAATCAAATTTTTCTTCTGAGTAGAAAGCATCAAAAATTACATAGATAAATCACACTACTCCTATTATAGATATAATGGAACCTAGCGAGCTAATAGCATTTTAAGTAAATAAGCTATTCGGAAAATCTGCATATCTTCTAGGCATTCCTGCTAATCCAAAGAAAATTTAATTTACTTAGTTTATATTTTAATAAATATAAACTAATTTTAAAAAATTAGTTTATACTTATTAAAATACAAAAAATACATGTAAAAATAAATAGAGTTTAAATAAGTTTTACTAGATTTGTTGGAAATTATGCCTATGATCTTTTTAGAATAAAATGGTCCAAGGCTTTCTAAAATTTGATTATCTATAAATTTATATATAAGTAATTCTATATATAATATTTAAGTAATTATATTTAAGTAATTCTATATATAATATTTAAGTAATTATATTTAAGTAATTCTATATATAATATTTAAGTAATTATATTTAAGTAATTCTGTATATAATTTTATATTTAAGTAATTCTATATCCTAAAGGGCTTATTTTTTTGAAAAGAACATAATTGATTAATATATCAAAATATCAATTATTAATTAAAAACAAATAAATATATTATAATAATTTATAAAGATAACATTTTAAGATTTATTTAAATTACTTAATATTATTTTAGCTGTAATAACTCCTAGTATACTAAGAAAAAAGGTAATAAATTACTAATATTGTAAACCATATTAGGAATATTATCTTTTATAATTATAAATTAAAACATGAATGCAGAAAAAATAAAAAATAATCTTAATAAACTTTATGAAATGATAATTTATACTCGCTTTCTTGTATATTATTAAAATTATTTATATCTTGTTGTGGAATAATAATAAAAGTATGATAAATTAGTCTCAAGGAAAAAAAAGCTGTAATAAATACAGCACTAATGCTAATTCAAACGGAAAAGGGTAAAAAATTTGAAAATAATGCTGCTTTAACAATTAAATCTTTAGAATAAAATCCTAGTAAAAGTGGTCCTAACAATGCTACGTATCCTATAACTATAAAAATGAATATTAGAGGTAAAAAGTTTTTTAAAGGATCATATTTTCTCATATCTTGTTCATCGTTTATAACATAAATTATAGATCCTGCACTAAGAAATAGCAAAGCTTTACAAAATCTATGGTTTATTAAATGAAATAATCTTAAATCATAAAAAAAAAATCCACAAATCATAATCGTGTAACCTAATTGACTACAGGTAGAATATGCTATTACTTTTTTTAAATCATTTTGAACCATTCCTATAGTTGCTGAAAAAAAAGAAGTTAAACTTTCTATAATAATTATCAAAATTAATATAGGAGATGAAAGTTAAAATATAGGCGACAATATAATAATTAAAAATACCCCAGCTGTAACCATTGTAGCTGCATTAATTAATGCTGAAACTGGAGTAGGCTCCTCCATTGCATCGGGTAGTCACATATTGAAACATAATTGAGCGGATTTTCCTAATACGCCTACTAATATAAAAAAATAATGGAATATAAAGTATATAAAAATTATTAGTGATGAAAGTTATAAATATATCATTGAATTCAAAAGATCCAGTAAATATTCATAAATATATTATTCCGATAAACAATCCTATGTCTCCTAACTTATTTATGATCATTGCTTTTATTGCTGACTTATTAACTTGAATTCTAGTATACCAAAAATTAATTAGTAAATATGAACATAATCCTACTCCTTCTCATCCTATAAAAAATTAAAATAAGTTTGAACTTTATATTATTATTATCATAAAAAAAGTAAATAAAGATAAATAAGATATAATATTGATAAATGAGGATCATTTTCCATATAGGAGTAAGAAAATAAACGAACAAAAAATGAAACGGTAATTACTAAAACTAACATATTTGTAGTAATTAAATCAAACTTTAAATTAAATGAATTACTTAATAAACCTAATTTAAACTAATTTATTAAGATATAGTTCAGAAAATTATTATTTAAAATTAATCTCATAAAAAATAAATCAGGAATTTATACGTGTAATTATAATAAGAAAAAAAGAGATTAATTTAACGCCTTTATAACCAAAAAATCTACCAAAAAATCCACATAATAAACTACTAAATAAAGGTAAAAAAATTATATTTAAAATCAAATTATAAATTTAACAAATAAGTTATAGAAGAAATAAAAAATTTGGGATTTAATAAATAAAATAATATATAATATAATATGAAACCTAAATAAATAAAATTTAAATATAAATTTTTTTTGTTTAAAGAGATAATATTATTTCAAGAAATACAAAAATTATTATTTTGGAATAAAAGTATTTTTACTATTCTTAAATAAGAACCTATTCCTATACAGGTAATTAATAAACATAAACACGCTATTACAATATAATTATAATTTTAATAAGGTTGAAATAAGAACCAATTTGCTTGAAAATCCTAAAAGTGGAGGAATTCCTGCTATAGAAAAAGTTGTGATAGCCAAAGCAATTGTTAAAATTTTATTATTCATTAGGTAACCACTCAATTCTATGATAAGTTCCATATTATTTTTATGTAATATTAATATCATAATTATAATTAAATATGTAATTAAATATATAAAAAGATATAATAAACAAATTTCGATACCTATTATATTATTTAAGCTTAATGATATAATAATAAACCCAAAATTAGAAGTACCACTATAAGCTATTAACCTTTTTATTTTAGTTTGATTAAATTCAGCAATAGTTC